CTGGCCTGGAGCAGCTCCTTGAAGAAGTTGACAGTCAAGTGATGCCTTCTTAGTGGTAGTTTCCAGTGAGAATTGGGGGTGGGGAGAGGATACTAAGTTATAATCTGGGAGCATCTAAGAACACTATTTTATGGAACCCATACCTTCTGGAAACACCCCTCGCACCAGCCTGTTCCACCTAGGTAGTGTTGCAAAGGGTACCAGCCATGTCCCTGGGGTCATTTCTTTCATTGTTTCATGGCAGTACAAGTCTGCTCTGAACACACAGCTGCCCAACTGGTAACTGTACTTCCTAGCTTTCCTTGGAATGTGTATGGTCACAGAATGAGGCCGTAGCTAACGACAAGTATCTGACCGCTTCCCCTTCACCACTGGTGTCAGGTTTGCTAGATGGAGACGATATTGGAGAGGGTGTGGCCACGGGCATAGAACATCTCTCTGACTGTGAAAATGAGGCTCTGCTAGACTGGGGTGGGGGACACTGTGGAACCCAAGTGTCAGCCTTTCCTTCCACTGAGCCAGCACTTTGTTAATTTCTTGAAAAAAGTTCTTCCTTTTAGTGTGGGTTTCCAGGGGCATTCCCTTCTAGCTGAATTTTTAAGATTTTGAATCAATCATCCTCGCACAGACATAATACGTTCAAAACATACTGATTAAGAACAGTAGCAAGTCCCACACAGGATCCACTGGCAAACCACATTAACGCGCTTCACATGACCTAGATAAAGGATATTGTAGGACCCAGAATTTAGGCCTTCCCATAAGAGACTTCATTATGACGGGCACTGAAAATGTAAGAAATTCCTAACTGACAATTGAAGCACAGATGATTACATGACTGATAGCTTAGACAAATGTCATTAAAACTTCTTTTCAAGGAACATATGTGTTCACGCGCAGTTCACTTTAGCTAAGTACTGACATCAAAAGGATGTGCCGACATTATGCTACATTTGGTCTCAAAGTACCAGGAATGACTTTGAGGTTTCCGCTAATTAAAGCGAAACGTTGTCTTCAAAATAACTCTTCTGATTTAGTGAAGGCAGTGTCTTACCAACCTTCAGCCTGGCACACAGTTTCACCTAGGGGCTGAGGTTTCTCTTGGTGCACACTACATAAGAAATCTTGGTTTACTAGCCGTCCCTACTTTGACCCAGTCCTCAGCACATTTGGATGGATTGCTGTTCCTCTTTTCCTTCTGCCTCTTGCTGATGCCAGTCTATTCTCTACACCAATGCATTTCCTTGTTGAAATGCAAATACAATGGCCCTCATTTTCTGTCTTAAAGTGTCAGTTCCTATCACCTGTAGGATGATGTAGAATGTGGCACTGGCCTTCTGTCCTTCTCCCTCTGCTTGGGAAGCGTTTTGTCAGTAAGTGTGGGTAACAGCTACTCATTCCTCAAAGCTTCATCTATGATAATCTCTGGGAACCAGGGCCGTTCATTCCCTCTCTTTATTACCTTACATATATTTTGGTCTTAAAACCTCTTATAGACCATGTAGTATAGACCATGTAAGTATAGTATAGACCATGGAGGATAATTGTCTATTTACAGAATTATCTTAAGAGCAAAGGTTGCATCTTTGTGTGATCAGTACTTCGTATGGTGCTGGAACATGGTAGAAGCCGCAATGGATGTTTTATCCAAGTAAACATGGTGCTTTAAAAATTAGCAACTTATAGCTGCAAACACAAAGTGATAGACTAGTAGTTCTCAACCTGTGGGTAGCAACCCCATCATGGGAGTTGTCTAAGACCATTGGAAAACACAGATATTTACATTACGATTCATAACAGTAGCAAAATTACATTAGGAATTATCAACAAAAATAATTTTATGATTTGGGGTCACCACAAATGAAGAACTATATTAGAGGGTCTCGGTATCAGGAAGGTTGAGAAATACTGGGATAGACTAATAAAAGTAGGGTTTCAGCTGGAGAGATGGCTCAGAGGTTAACAGCACTGGCTGCTCTTCCAGAGGTCCTGAGTTCAATTCCCAGCAACCACATGGTGGCTCACAACCATCTATAATAAGATCCAGTGTCTTCTTCTAGCGTGCAAGTGTATAAGCAGATAGAACATTGTATACATAATAAATAAATAAAATATATATTTAAAAAAAAAAAGTAGGGTTTCAGTAATTTAGGTAATTTCCTCCATAGCCCTGTGTAGAGGAAAGGTCATACTGCAAAACGCCTGTGTGTCTGACTTGGGTGTGGTAAGGACTTCCTCCATCTTTGGAGGTAGGAGAACCTTTACTTGAACTATGAGTTAAACTGCGTTCTCTTAAAATCCATATTTGGAAGTCCTTAGGATGTGACTTCAATTAGAGATGGGAGACTTACAAAAACACATTCTAATTAAAACTAGGATTTTAGTGTAGTGCTGTGTCGTAACTGCTGCGCCTACGAACCCATATGTTGAAGTGCTAAGCCTCACCAGAGTGATATTTGCCAGCAAGTTGTTATGAAGGTAATTAAGTTCAAACGAGATGGCTGGTGTGGCCCTTATCTAACTTGATTGGTGTTTGTATCAAAAGAGGGAAGGGAGAGGCACACCAGGCATGCAAAGACAGAGGAGAAAAGCCATCTGCAACTCAAGGAGAGGTCTTAAGAGAAAGCAGACCTTGATCTTGAACTTCCAGCCTCTAAAACATTAAGACAATAATTTTCTATAGCGCAAAGCATCCAGTTCATGACATTAATACTGCCTCCCCAGCAAACTAACACTCCCTAGAAGCCCTTATTAACAGTTCTTGTTGACCTATTCATGAACTGAATCATAAATGTCACCTTTAGAAGAAACATCAATAATTTATCGTTTTCATCTTCTAGATGGTGAAACAGAGGCTGGAGAGGGGCAAGCGCCTGCCTCATGTCCAGTAGCTTTACTAGATGAGATCTTGATAGGATTCTACTCAGAGCCCCGTGTTTCGTGGCCCTCCATACCTTCCAGAAGCCTGCTTCATACTTAGTTACACTAATATATGCTTCACCCTCAGGATGGCTTAAATGAGTAAAACCATCTTCAGTGCTCATTTAGAATGCCCTGATCCAAATGCCCTTAGTGTAAGTTTTAAGACTTATCAAGGTTTTATTATGCATCAGTTAGATTCTTGTCAAACTATCTTGAGAGGCGAAAGAAGTACCCCTCCCTGCTCCCCATGTTTAGAGAGGTTAGGCTAAAAGTTTGCTGCCCTGCCCCTAAGCTGGCTTTTACGATGGAAGAAAGCACAATGGCTATTTCTCCCTCGTCTCCAAGGAAAACAACTAGTTTCTTCCGTTATTTTTTTTAACGTATTTTAAATGCAGTCATTCTTCCATGACTACCTATGAGGATTCAATACCAGACAGCTCGGTTCTCTCACTGGCTCTGTATGATCTTACTCAAACCTTTCAGGTTTTCTTGTTCTCTTCACTTCATTCATATTCATAGCGTGACGATCCTAACACCGTGTGCATTATCTGCTGGCTGTGAGGGTTAATGACACGCCATGTGGCTGGTATATGATGAACAATCAATGCCTGTCAGCGGTCAGTAATAGACAGAATAAAAGTCTCAGAGAAAGCTGAGCTCTTTACTCCTGTAACTAGGAAGAGCCCTCCCCCCTCCAACCGTATTCTGGGAGCTTCCCGTGATACACACTGTTTTCTTGGTTTTTCCAGGATGCTCTGAAAGACTGTGGGCAGGGAGACCTCGGCCAGAAGAAGAGGCTGCCATGGTGTGTGGGCCACATTTAGAAAGTAGAGAGATGATTGACTGTTTCCGTGACAGGCTGCACTGGCCGCATGAAAGAACTCAAAGGAATAGGCTGGGGTACAGCAGGGGTGTTTCCTCTCTGAGAATCTTCGGGGGGGGGGTGGTAGGTCTCTGTGACAGGAAGTGCCATGCGGAGGGTGTAACGTATCTACAGTCCCCTTTCCTCTGTGCCCGCCCATCTGGTGTGTCACACGGACACGAAGTCTACGTGGCTGGGAGTCTCCTTGAAATGACTCTTGCTCCCTTCCTGACAAAGGACCATGTCAGTTGTAGGAAATGCCTTTTAGGGCTCTTCCCGAACCTTCCTGTGATAGAGACACACAGGTTGGCGTGAAAGCACAGTGGTCTATTCTGTTTCTTAGTGGTTAGATGGGCTTACTTAACCAGCATTCTCTTCCAACAGAACAATGATACTTTCTACCTAAGAAAAGAGAAAACCTACTCAAAAGATTTAGGTCTAGGCATTAATTTCACTATTTGAAGTTAAAGAAAGTTGAGGGAGATACTTAAATTCTACGAACTTCAGGTTCCTCGCACGTAAAATGAAGCTGGTGGTAGCACCTGTGTGGCAAATTTATTTTGAACCAAAGAGACAATACAGTTAAAAGTGCCTTGCCAATAAAGGAGTGCTATTATCTCATCTTTCTCTGGTCTCACACTCCCTAACTGGCCATAAGAGTCACAATCCATTCATAGCACAGCCCCGTCCTCATATGTCTCATTTCTCATATCCACAATGCTCTGTTGAGGTGCAGAGATCACACGTCATATCTTCTCCCTTCTCTTGCAGCATAGTACTTACTGACGGCGAAGAGCATCACCAAGGAAGTATTTATTGATGGCATAGAACTGTCTCACCATAGTGGAGCAAGGATTTAGGACTTAGGACCTTCATTCTGCATTCCCTTTCCCGGATATCCTTGTACATTGGATCCATGGCACAAGACACAGAGAAAGGCTTGCCCTTGCCCTTGGAGATCTGAGTTCTGGCTCAGATTCTGTTTTCTCCCCCACTGCCCTGGTTTATTCCTCAGCTGTGAATCAAATATAACATAATGTCTCCTGGGGCCAATTTGAAGGCACCCTTTGTTGAATGTGCCTGGCGACTTTGACAATATAAAGAAAATGTAAAGTACCTCGGGCTGTTGAAGCAGAGCTGTTGGACTAGTTGGTATCGGATTTGCCATTGATGAAGTACCCTAGCTGCCACCAGAGCGGCAGCTGAGGATTCTCACCTGAGGATTCTTGCTTGCATTCCTGCCACAGGTTGAAGGCCCGAGAGCGGCTGCTGACGGGGTTGCTTGCGGTGCAGTTGTAGATGCCGTCACGATGCTGGTTGCTAAGAGTGACGTACAGGAGGTGGGAATGGTTGGCCGGGCTCAGCAGCTGGGTGCCGGCCTCATCCCTCCAGCTGTAAGCCACATGATCCCCTTTCTTCACGGTGCAGGCTAACATCAAGCTGCAGCTCCCGTTCTCTTTCTCCTGGGTTTTGTTTAGCACTTTAATCTCTGGAGTGGAGACCTGCTCTGTCAGGAGGAGGAGCAAGGAAACCATCACTGAAACAAGACTTCCGGAACTATTGACTGACTTATTTGTCAAAACAAAGTCTAGCCAAATGTCATTTTCCCCTCACTGATTATATAAGGTGTGATGACATCAGTAAATTTATAAGAACAAAAGGACAGATTATATGATATTTACGTTATTTTTTTTAAAAAGTGGCCTCCGCACACACTCAGCAGAGGGCTATGGGAATTCTGCATTCTCTGTTTGTAGGAGGAAAATGCTGGAACAGGAGAGAGCCAAGATGTTTCTGTTTCTCTCCTAGATAGCTGAGGGTTTCAAAGAAATGGTGGCTGTGGGCTTCCTGTCCCATCCTTGGTGGTGTAAGAGATCCCTTTGGAAGAGCAAGGAAACCCCACACAACCGTGCCTTGTAAAGCAGATGAGCCTCCGGACCTAAAGCATCAGCATTCTGGGTGCCTACGAGGACAGGAACAGAGGCAAAAGGGGCTCAGAAAAGTGCTGGATTCAGGTAGGCGTAGATTCTACGGTACAGTACAACGAAATAACTACATAACCAGATTCCGTTTCAAATGAGAAAAAAAAAAAAAAAGGTGTTTCTTTCACAGTGTAGGTGGACGCCTCCCCCAGGGCTCCGGGCTTGGTGAACTGCCTGTGGGTGGAATGTCAGTTCTCTTTACCCAGGGCCTCTACTGTGGCAAACACTCTACAGTAGTGTGTGTAAGCATGTTCAGAACTACTTGCCCTTGGAGCTGGGGTCCCCGGCAAAGTAAGAGAAATCAGGTTTGTTCAGTTATATTCAAACTTTGTAAAAGCTGAGCTTGACAGAAAAAAAAAAATAGGTTTTTGTTTTTTTTTAATTGATATGCAAACTAAGCATATTAGGCTTGTAAATTAGCCCCTTGGGCCCCACATAGTGGGGTCCCTCCCTTTCAAAATAGGAATCAAATCTGCCTCCACCAATGTGCAGTTTCGAAGAAAAACAAACAAACAAACAAACAAAAAGTCAGCCTGTCAAAGTGTTTCCCTTTAGCTTAAATATTCCTTGGACCAGCTCTTTCACATTGCTTCCACTTTCAGACGCTCTGCTGCTGAGGAGGACCTGAACTCTTGGCCTGAGAACCATCGAGGTCCCTCTGTGTAAAGTGCAAAAACTCCCATTTTTACCATAAAGCTTCAGCTGCATGCAGAACTGCTGAACTGACACATTCTCCTCCACGCTCACAAAGTACCATCCTTCACTCTCCCTCCTGTTTCCCAGGATCCCGAGGCTCAGGTTTTCTGACAGAAACTGGTAGCCATTCTCCAGGTGATCTGGAGGGCCTCCTTTAGAGAGATCAAAAGACACTATTTTCTTGTTGGTTTTGCTTCCTGGAGCCGTTGCCATTGTGACGAGGATTCGGACGCTTTTGTTACTGCTCTTATTTATCTGATGCTCATTTGTGAGGGACAGCCATGTGTCACTTCCCAGCTGCCCGAGAATCACCGGGCAGTCCATCATGCCTCCTCCACCTGTGGGAAGGAGGGAAAGAGAATTCCTTATGATGGAAGACCTCGGGAAATACGCTGTGGTGAGGACAGAGGATGACAAGCGGAGACTCTCCTCTCCCCTTGAACTATCTCAAATCACCAGGTGGTGGTCTACAAGGACTACTGCCAGAATCCCAGTCATAACTCAAGTGTTTCAAACCCTCCCATGGAAATCCTAGAATTACTTAACACCAGGATTCTCTCAACTCAGACTTAACAGTGGAGGCACGGAAGGCAGAAGTCACTAACGGAAATGACTTCCTTAAAACCAGAGGACTAGAATCTCAGCCTGTAATTTCTCTGCCAAGGTTCTCGCCACCGCTCCATATGCAAGATGAAGAGTGGACAACAGTGAGAAGACGCCCAGGGACCATGGTCGGGTGATAAGAAGCAGAGAAGGGTCTGAAGGCTGTGAGGATTAAGGAGGAGGGGCACTTTATGACCAAACTACAATCCTACTTGTCCAAAAAAACAAAAACAAAACAAACAAACAAAAACAACAACAACAACAAAAAACCCAAAACATCCCTGAGATAATTAATAACGGTAAGGATAACAGATTATTTTGTTTTCCTTTTTAAAAAAAAAAAATGCTGAACTCACAAGAATAAGCTGAAAAAAAAAAAAAAAAGCCACGAAAACCCAAAAACCTTTCAAACCACTTATAAGGGATTTTGTGTTAACTATTTAATACCTCCACTTCGCTCAAACCCACAGCCTGCCTTTTCTGCACCCTCTCTCAGGGGTGATCTCCCTTTTTGTTTCACTGAAAAAAAAAATATATATATATATGGAAGAAACAAAAAGCAGATTTCGATTGATGGAAATCCCAATCAACCCCTCTACCTGGAGGACAGCCTGTGTTCCAGCCAAGGCTGGCGTCTCTCCTTGAAGAGCACTCACATGCTCTCCAGTTTTGCCTCTGTAACCCACCCCCTGTGTTCTCAGTTGCCTTCTAGAACCCTTTCACCAGAACACACATACAAACAGTTAATTGTCTTCATCTTTAAAAGAAAAAATCTCTATCCTCAGCCACTTGGCCATTTTCATTTTCTTTTTGGAAGGTTCTTGCAGGTCTTCCTGACCCTATCTATCCCTCTCCAAACAAGTTTTCTTCCCAAATTCTCACTGGATCACACTTGTTCGTTACACAAAGCCAAGTCACTGTCTAGCATGTTTCTCAGGAACACATGACGCAGTTCATCACCCATCCTTTAAACACTGCATTTGGTCCCCAAGACACTACGCTTTCCTGACTTGCTATTATTTTGTTCTTTTATCATTCTTAGTTTCCTTGGAGGAAACATCTGTTCTTTCAGATCTCTAAATATGGGACTACACCCCGGCACAGGCTTCCTTCTCTTGGCTATCTACACCTATCCAGTTTCTCATTTGGCTGCACAGTTTGACATATCTCTGCAGCATTTACAGTTATATATTATGGCTAACCCTTTCACTGTAGACTCCATTGCCTACACAGATGGGCATTTGGAAGTTTAAATGGTCTCCAATTTTAGCAAAAAACTCTATGCAAATGTGACCATTTGTCCAGTTTCTTGGGCCAAAAACATTGGAGGATCCTTGGGTCTGCGCTTTCTCACACTTCACATTTAGTCTTGACAGAAAATCCTATTGGCTCTAATTTCTAAGTAGGTCTGGCATAGAAGCACTTTCCATGCCGTTCCTTCTTACCGCTGTCACCACAGCACGAGCTGATACCACTGTTTTCCAATAATCTCCCAGCATTTGTAGCAAGGACAAAGTGACCCTTTAAAGCCAGGCCTGACTTATTTTTGCTTTTAATCTTCCAGGGCTTTCTAGCACTCACAAAGTTCATGGTCCTTGAGTCTGCAAACCTAGTGCAAACCTAGCACTGTTCCAGATCCATGCCCTGCCCCACTCTCTGGCTTTCACAGCAACATAGCTTCGTAGCTTCCTGCTCCTTAACCTCATGGCGAACATTCCTGCCTCTGGGCCTTTGCCTTGGCTGTTTCTCTCTGGAGAGCTCTTCCCATCTGGACCTGAGCAGCTCAGTCCCTCTCTTTATTTTAGGTGCCTGCTCAGAGAATTCTCTCTTCTGACAGGCCTCCTTTGATTGAGTATCCATGATAGCTCCCCCTGACCATTGCTCTTGCTGTCACAAGACAGCAAATGTTATAGTTCATATTTACTCATTTTGTTGCTGTCTGTCCCACTTGGATACAGTCCTTCTCCAGAGCAAGAGCTTCAAGCCACTGTTTTTGTCTGATGACTTGATTCAGTGTCTCACACAGGCAGGCTCTGACACAAATATCTGTTCAATTGAGAAGTGCTGAAAGCCATATCACCTTAGCAAAAACTTTTATTTACCTTAGTCTAACATGTGTATAACTGAATTTAACCATAAGTTAATGTTCATGGTAGGGGCACATGACTTAATGAGCACAGATTGTTCTAACTGATAAGAGATTCAAAAGAGTAAAATAAAACCACCTGCTTCTGCAACAGATCTATCTAGAGAAGACCCCTTCTCAATTGTGGTAAAGACAAGCTACTGGAAAATTAAGTAAAATGGGCAAAATATTCTTGACATCAATGTGCCCTGAAATCCCCACACTGTCTACTAAATGACCCAGCCCAAATTCATTAAATACTAGTGACTTGGAGAAAAAAAAACACAGTCTATGTTGGCTAAAGTCAGGATGAGTGTGGTTGGGGCATGTTGTTACAGGAAAGTGGGGTAGGTGATAAGGAACTTGGTCTTTGGGGCACTGCTAATATTTCCCCTTAAAACAGAATGCTCACCCTTTTTCCCGGGTAAGGCGGAGACTTAATTTCACTGCAGTTGTTTGGTGCTGTTTTCACATGGGAAGCATGTTTTACATTGGGAAGCACACTCAGGAATGCCTGTCATTTCCAGATGGCACGCCTTCTCTGATGGTTTCACACCCTAATTGTAAAAATGTACCCACGATATGTTTTCGTCTTTTGGGACCTGAACCCAAGTTTCCATGTGTAAAGGAAAGAGGGAAGACGGAGAGACATACATGGACCTGTGAACGCATGTACATTTTGAAGAACACTTCTAAAATGTCATTTCCGAAAGAGATCTAAGATTTTAAAAACAGAATTGCTATCCTACTGCTGACATTTTAAACTAATTTTGATTCGGAGAAGTGGGGCATGGGGAAATTTACCCATTCTAGGCCTGTTAACTCTTTACTCTCCCAAATGTCTCCCATACAGCCTTTCCTATCACATGACCCTCCTGTGCTTTCTGAACTTTCAGAGTACAGATTTGGTAGAAAAAAGAGAAAAGTTGGGTACAGCTATAGTAAGAAGTAGGCTAAATAAATAAATAAATAAATAAATAAATAAATAAATAAATAAATAAATAAATAAAAAGTGATAGAAGGTAAAAAGAGAAAGGGTGAAAGAAAAGAAATGAGGCAGATGAGACTTCATGGTTGGCACACACAAGGAGTGGAATCAAAACTTCACCAGAAAGAGACCTTAACACCCAAACACACATGGAGAATGATGATATAACTGTTCCCATGACTACCGAGTCCAGAGAGGCGCTTGAGGTCATCTCCACCCAAGCACAAGTGGAAACATAAGTGAGGCTGTAAAACCCTTCAAGTGGAGTCTCGTTCCTGAAACATCCTACTGCCTGTTGAGGGTTTTCCAGTGAGCCTGTGATTCAGTCAGCCAGCCCTGTTTACTAGAAGAGACTGGGAGGAAACATTTGTGCTCTTCACACCAACTCACTTTCCTTCACGGGTAATTCTACTTTGATGGTGGAGTGATTCACACAGGCAGGTGAACAGTGGCCTGAAGTTTTCAGGATTTAGCTAACCCTTTCACAAGGTGGGATTCTACCTCAGAACATTATTTTTGGCTTCATGCTGATATTTTACATATGCTTTTAGCATCTTGCTTCATTATTTATTCTTTTCTCTTCTTTCCTTTTTTCTTTCTTGGTCACAGTTCTAGTGGTAAACGCAGACGTGGCAAGAAAAAAAAAAACTGGTCTAAGGCTTGTTTTTAAACCTAGATATCCTATTGAGATCCCTATTTCCCGGGGCTGAGAACGCTGGATCTTCATTGTTTGGACTATTTGCACTTATCATTTCATAGCATGAAAGCCTGGACCCTCCCCCCGCCCTTTGTCTGGCCAGTTCCCTCCACCCTTCAAGTCTTTTGATGAGGGAAGACATCCCTAGGTTCAGGGTTAGGTTAGGTTTCCTGCTGCATGCATCCACAGCACTTTGCATCGCTCCTTCACGCCTCTCATCACAGTCTTAACTGGTTTCGCACTTGTTGTATCTTTATTTACTGTGATATTCTAACACAGTCATTCTCAACCTTCCTAATGCCACAACCCTTTAATACAGTTCCTCATGTTGTGGTGACCATAAAATTATTTCATTGCTACTTCATAGCTGTAACTTTGCTATCATTCTGAATCATAATGTAGATATCTGATATGCAGGATATTTGCTATGCGACGCCCAGAGGGATCGTGACCCACAGGTTGAGAATGACTGTTCTAACATGTACCTGGGACACAGTGGTAGTTCAGGAAATCCTTGTTATCAAAGTGAATGAATAAAATGAAATTAATTGAGTGAATGAACAGATGACAGCATGAGTCTAAGTTCTTCCTTTCTCCAAAATTAAAATGATTTCCATTTTATCTCTGTAGCAGTGTTTCTCCTCATTTTCCAGGTGAGGACGGAGAAGTTCCTCAGCCACAAACCCTAGGCTTTTGGTTGCAATAGATCCCTTTCCCTTCCTCCCAAGCACTTTATATCACTTACACTCTGTATGTGTAGCTCCATCTCTTTTCCAACTCTAGTAAAATTCAACCTACGTATTTGAAAGATACACAAAAAACTGACAATCCTTACTGTGTTATCTACACAAGGATTACAGAAAGAAGGTGAGTCTTCATTCTAATCTATTTTGTTCTGTTGTTTAGAAACACATATGCAGCTCTCTTCTAATAAACAAAAAGGTTAAACAAAAACCTGTGTAATGAAAAAAGTTTCTATCTGCTTTATAAATTCCACATCAAATACTTCATATGTGCCTTCTAGATTCCCCTTTAATTTATCAATGCCTATCACCTTTTGAACATTCTAGACTTTACTTAGTTTCAATTTAATTCAACATATCTACTTCAATTGTAGATATTCTATTCTAGTTTTTCTCATGGGACCTAGAAACACAGAGTATCATTATTCCCACTCCTCAGACAGAAGCTTGTCCAGTTTCACTCACTGTAATGTCAAGAGTCCAGGCATGTGAGTGCAGAGAAACTGTTATCCTACTCCGCTTATCTTTTCTCAGTTACAGAGTTATAATGCTACTAAAGATGGTGACGACAATTTCATAGCGTTGGTGTGGAAATTAAATGATAAAACACTTTGCATAATGTCTCATATAAGGCAAATATATAGTATTATCTACCATTATTTATGCAATAATAATTTTCAGGTGGGCTCTCACATACCAGACATTATATCAGATGCTTGTCAGGGCCTATGATTTTGCTCATTTCGTTCCCTACTCTTTCACCTTGCCTAGCCATATCAAAGACACCGAGTACATCAGTGCTGACTGGAATCTTTGAAAGTCAGTCTATACATATCCAAATCTCTGACGCTTTGAACTCGATTCCAATGCAGTAGATAGAGAAAGGTGAGGTTTTTGTATCACGGGATTCTTTTTTTTTTTTTTTTTTTTTTTTTGAAGAAGTATCTAGATCAATATGTTGGTGTAGAATAAGCCAATAGCTGCATCAGTGTGGACCAAACCTAGAGCCCAGGCATTTGTCCCTCATCTCATACTCAACATGGATGAAGGAGATGTGAAGGACCTACATGGAGGAATAAAGCACCTCATTTGGGGAGAGTCATCAGTCAGAACACTGATATCCCTGTAGTGGTCAATACTGACACTGAGGCTTCTCTTACAGGAGTAAGAGAACGTGAGAAATCTCTACTCCACGTGGCTATGACCCCACAATTGCTCTAAAAATAAAGTCTAGTTTAGAAGATTCTCAATAAAGTGAAGAATCTGAACCAGCTGATTTCTGGACAAGATGTGACAACATATTTGGTCTTCCCTGAGGATTCTTCAGACGTCAACTTGGCATTTTATATCTAACTCAAGAATTCATGGCACCGTTAGGCACACGTTATGAAAATATCTGTGAATTGGAGTTAATGGTCTATGTAGGTGAAGACCATAATGTTCTGGCAGGAATGACGAGGGGGGGTGAGCAGTACCAGAGGCCAACAAAAATGATATTGTTATGCAAATTAACGCACACAATAAACTGAAGAAACCTGAGGCTGGCTTTGCAGAAACCCCAGCCTGGGCTGTATTCTTTGTAAATATATATATAAAAGAAAAAGACATGAAAGTTTACCTTGCAGTTATTTACCCAAAGGTAGCAACTCTTCACTAGGGCTCTTGGATTTAAGTCAAGCTACCATCTAGAAGTTGTATAACTTCTTAAGCATAGGCATCACGCATGCTTATGTGTGATGGTCAATGTAACTAAGTAGGTCAACTGTCATTTAGGAGAATTTGTTCTACTTGGGAAGGAACACGTGGACTTTTGTGTTTTAGAGCTCTGACTGGGAACTGAAAACGGAGCTGAAATGGGAAGGGGCTGATTTTCAGAGCATCTTTGCTGCACTGCTGTGACATGACTGATAAGTCTCATTTGCAAGGCACTTCTATTTGGGTTTTATTGGGGTTTCACAAAAGAGTACGCGTTTAAAAATAGACACACTGACAAAAATTGAACCTATTTTAGAAGATGGGATGCGAGAAAAGAAGAGCTACCAATTGGGGAGGCACGTGTGTGCTCTGGGGCTGAGCTGTCACTCACCAACCAGTGACCTCCCACCCTTAAGCAGAACATCTGTTAGCTCTACCCGAGCTGCCCCAGACAAGGCTGGCCAAAGAGAAGAACAGAAATTCATCCCATGGTTATTATAGTCACCAACTAAGCCAGAAATGGTGGGGTTCAAACAGGATACAATGAGAAGGGCTCAGCTCTACCTTTGAAGACGCTCTGTTTGACCATCTAAAGCTCTCAAAGTGGGGCTAGACAAGCAGCTTCTCATCCCTGGCACATTTCAGGGCTTTTTTTTTTTTTTTTAAAGAAAAGTCCATGATGGATTTGCAGTCATAAAAACCCCAAGACTAAAATGCTTTAGCCCTCAGGATTTCCCCCATCCCCTTCTTAAAGCCATCTCCCTGCCAGGCTGTCTCCCACAGTCTAATTAAATCCTAAAATAGAGTTGACCATTCCACCCACATGATCATCCCCGGATCTATGGCTCAGCACTGTTGCTCTCAAATACCTTTCCTTATAGCTCTGACCCACTAAGCAGAAAACAATAGCTTGCCTATTGGAAAAGAAAAGAACCACGGAATAGGAAAGAAGTCCCTGCTCGCTCCTTCAACACTTTGCTACCAATAAAGCCCACCGTGGGAGCTTTGTTGACCTTGAAATTTCCTGATTTGCATTTCCCACATTCTATAACCAACCCCAGGCTCCAAAAATCCCAACCTCCCCTCCCTTTGCTGCTTTGGAATCATCTCTTAGAAGAAAGCATGACCACATCGCAGCCACTGTCTGTTGTCAGCCAAAGGTCTGAGGTTTTTCACTTCTACCTGTTTCGCTCTACCACCCTCACTTTTCACTGGACCATGTTCTTTGTCTGCTGGTGTTTGTGTGAGAGTCATTTTCTACAGCAGGGATGTAAGGCAAGTCTCCCAGGGCCCTGTTCCATAGCCTGGACCTTTGCCAGAAGGGTACCTACATAAAACCAGCTACTCAGAACTTCAGCCTGAGTCCCTTATTCCAAGAGGCTGGTTATGGAGGTAGCAGGTGCCTTCGGGTTGTGGTTTCCACTGAAACTCCAGTTGGTGGGGCTAATACCTGGACCCTGAAGCTCAAGGAACTCCTTGAGGTCTTTCTTTTTGAAAGACACAGGAGAAACACAGAGGCACTGTCCTTAAGGAAGAGGTAATTCAACCACACACCCCAGCCCTTGTCTTCTCTATCCCCAAGACTTTGCTGATTCCAAATCTAAACACAGAACTCAAACCCTTACACAAATGAGCACTCACCTGATCCGTAGCTCAACTCACAAGCCAGGGACAGAAACAGAAGCATGCTCCATGAAAAGAACCTGTTGGGATCCATTAGCCACAAGGAGCTCAGCAGCTGCTTGCAGATGCCCCGGCAGAAGCTCTGATCACAGTGCGGCCTTTGCTGTCAACTAAACTTCTAAGTTCCTGAACCAGCTTCCTGTCTCAACTGGGTGCTGTTTTTTTTTTTTTTTTTTTTTTTTTGTTTTTTTTTTTTTTCTTTCTGTATTTTTTTTTTCTCTACTTGAGTCTCAAGGATTGCTCATGTCTGATCAGACTTAAATCACTTCGGCACTCGTTCTTAAGAATCTGCCTAAGTCAGGTGTCTAGACCCATGGGAGCCGGGAAAGGACTGTGTAGTCACTTCAGTCAAATCTGGCTTGGGGAAGAAACGTGATTCCCCACGCTCCTTTTTCTAAGCGGTTTCCAGGAAATGGGTGTCACATGTTCTCTGAGTAGATCTGCCTGGTAACTCTTCTTGTGTCCTGAGGAAAGATGGACCACCTACAAATTAGGGAATTCAGGGTTCAGGATTTGTTTGTAACTACCTTTCAATGAGATGATAGGAGCTTTACTTGGGATTTGTTTAATAATTTCACTGAACAACCTCTGCAAGTAAGACTTGGAGCTAGTCACAGACTGATGGGGTGGGCAAGAGTGGACCACTGACCAACAGACATTTCCTGAAAGGCATTGTATGGCTGAACCAAGCTAGCTCACTGCTGCCTTAAATTTAGAGGTTGTGTGTAAGATTTTTTGTTTGTTTGTTTTGGTGGAGAAGGAATGGAAGAAAGAACTTATTATATGAACAGAAAACTAGAAAATGCTATGATCAGGACTCACAAGGAGACTTTGAGAAGTGTGGCTAAGTTTCTCTGTGTGGAGGAAGACATGTGCTTGGCACAGTTGTGCATGTGGAGGTCAAAGAACAACTATTGGGAATCAGTTCTCTCCTTTCATCAGGGGGATCCAGTTATTAAACCCAAGTTGCCAGATCTGTATAGCAATTACCCTAACCATGGAGCCATCTTGCCAGTCTCCAGGCTAGTGCTTTTAGAACCTATTGTTGTAATCACTGGTACTCTCAACTCTTGGCCTCCCCGAAGACCTCAGGGTAGAAAGAGCTGGTTATAGAGCTGGTCCTTTGTCCTCCCTGTTTTCCCTTCTTCTTTTTCTGGTATCCAACTTCATAATGGTGAGTTGATAGGGTATGTTCCCTGTTCTGCACTCAGTATCATCACTGTAGGAGCTAGAAATATGTCACGTATGGAATTAACATCATAGAAATTGGTAAATGACATAAATCGGAGTTTTCTCTTTTTTTTTTTCCTTTTTGTTTTTTTTTTTTGTTTGTTTTGTTTTTGTTTTTCGAGACAGTGTCTTACTATGTAGTTCTAGCTGGTCTGGAAATCACTGTGTAGACCAGCGTGGTCCCAAACTCACCTGGCTCAGCTTCCTATGTGCTGAGATTAAAAGTATACACCACCACACCCGGCCATTAAATCAGAATTTTCAAGAATGATATATGTCCTCGAGTCACACAACTATTGGACTTCATGTTCCATCCAGTATACTTATGTCAGATCCCTCCCTCTCTTCCAAAGACTTCCATTCATGTTTACTTTATTTCTAGCCTCATCTTGAGGCCTTTCTACCTCATGCCCTGTTGTGGGGTATTCACAACAGAAGACTGCTCAGATATGGGCTTAAGCCAATAAGTCTTTATTAGCTGGCCGTTGACTCTACTGAGTATTCGGGATCCCAATGTAGCACTGAGCCTTTCTTAGGGTGAGCTTTCAAGCACAAAAACCACGTTCTGTGTTGACACACTTCAGTTAACAAAAACAGCCAGAAGTGGAACTACATAAGCCAAAAAGAGAGTTTTCCAGAACTGTGGACTGTGATGGATTAGGCCTTTGTTTTGATTTTTGGCAGGTGTTACTGTGGGCTGAATTTTGTGGCCTGACTGGTACTTCTATTATAAAATCAATTGTGCTGAAATCTGGGAGACTGCTAAGGTCTGGAGTCTCTTCAGACAGATATCAAGGTAATTTATGGTGTTAGTGTGAAGGGTTTGGTTGTTCAGGGTGATTATTGAAATCAGCGATGCTTTAGATGTAGGTGAATTGAATAGTGTCCCAAGTCAAATTCTTGTCTCCTCAGAATATCAGAATATGGTCTTCTTTGCAATAAGGACTTTGAGTGAAATATAAAATATTATAAACTTGGTTAAAGTGGTCCCTAAATTTAATGAGAGCACCTTCAGAAGAAAGAAAAGAATATATACCAGAAAAGTCCAGCCAAGATGTAACAGAAATTGGATTTATTCAACTACATCTAGGAACACATGAGAACACTGGAAACTGGAAGAGACAAGACAGGGTCTCTTGGAGAACTTTTAAGAGGAGCCTGGTCTTCTTGATGCTATAGTTTCATACTTTTTTTTTGTTTGTTTTCCAGAATTGTGACAGAATGGATTTCTGTTGTTTCAACTTGTGATCTTGTGATAAGTTACAACAACCACAGGGATAATGTGGTCTTGGGCAATGTGGTAGTTTGAGTGAAAATGGCTCCCATAGGCTCATAGGGAGTGCCATGATTTGAAAGAATTTAGAACATGTGGCCTTGTTACAGAAAGTGAGTCACTGGGGGTGGGCTTTGAGGTTTCAGAAGCTCAAGCCAAGCCCAATGGCTCACTCTGTCTTCCTGATGCTTGTCCATCTGTAAGTAGAACTCTTGGCTCTTTTCCCAGCGTGACATCTGATTGAATGTTGCCATGCTTCCTCCCTACCAACATGATAAGAGACCAAACCTCTGAACCAGCCCCAATTAAATGCTTTTCTTTATAAGAATTGATGTGGTCATGGTATCTCTTCACAACAATAGAGACCTTAACTAAAATAGAAGGCACCAGGAACTGAGGTATTGTTGTGATAGGCCTGATTATGCATTTGTTTGGAGGAAAGTGGACTTTGGGACTTTGGATTAGGAAAGCAGCTGAATGTTCTAAGTGCGGATTGAAGGGCCCAAATAGTAGAAGCTTGGGAGACAGAGGTGCTGCAGGTGATTTGAACTGTGGCGTTCTGGATCAAGATGTTTCCGAGGAGAACAATATGAATATGTGGCTTAGAGACCTTTCTTGAGATATTTTGGCTGAGGATGTGGCTGTTTATTACTCTTGCCCAAAATATCTGCCTGAGGCTGAACTGAAGAAGTGTAGATTAACAGCTTTGGCAAAGAAGGTTTTCAGATAGCCCAGTGTTTACTGCGACTTGGTTACCAGTGGCCATACTTTTGCAGATCTATAATGAAAAGGAAGAAGCTGAGCAAAGGAAAAATAAAAAATGTATTGGAGGAAAAAAGAAGCACCAGAAATTGTAATGGACTCAAGTCCACTGCTCATGGAGATAAAAAAAAAAATTAAGGAAAAGCTTAATGCTAAATAAAGTAAAGGGAGTAACGACCTCAGGACAAGACCCCACTCAGCTATGCTTCCAACTTGTAAAAAGGAATTCAAAAGAAAGTGAAAAGAAATTAAGGTAAAGCTTAGGGCCTGGTGATGGTACAGACCTTTAATCCCAGCACTTCAGCGGCAGAGGCAGGTGGATATCTGAGTTCAAGGCCAGCCTGGTCTACAGATTGAGTTCCAGGACAGCCAAACTTAGGCTGGAGGAAAACAACAAAAACAGAATGCTGAGGCAGATATAATTGAACAAGGGCCATATTCCAGCTCCAGAACAAGCATCAGGACTTGGCAGCTTCAGCCATGTAGTTCTAGATTTAGAGTTGAGGATAAAAGAAAGGGGTTGTGGAATCTCCCTCTCTGGCTAAGAAAAGCTGTTGAGGCCAGGTGTATGTCAGGGTCTACCTGGATAGAGGCTTAGAGAGCCATTGTGTGAAGCTGTGAAGGTGAATCCTGGATTGCCTTGGAGATGCCAGAGCCATTAGAAAAACTGCTAGGAGAAAGTGGGGAGAAAGAGACACACGCAGAGAGAGAGATATATGGTGCAGTCAACAAAGCTGAAAGGAGTTGGAGATCTGAAAAGCATTTTGACATCAGATATGGAGATGCAGAATTTGGAGTTTGCCCAGCTGGTTTTCAGTCTTTCCCCACCATCCTCTCTTCAGCAGATACAAGGTAATTTAAGGTGTTAGTCTGAAGGGGTTGGTTGTTCAGGGCGATTATTAAAATCAAAGATGGTTTAGATGTAGGTGAATCGAGTAGCGGTCTAGTGATTCCTCACTATGCTCCCGCTTCTCCCTTTTGGAATGGTAATGTGCATCCTGGGCCACTGTATTTTGTGAGATCTGCTTTTTCATTTTGATTTTACAGGGGATATAGTTAAAAGATTGCCCACGAGTCTCACAGACTTTGAACTGTGGACCTTTAAATGGTGTTGAGACCGTGACAAACTATGGAGACTATGTGCATTTTTCATTATGATATGGCTACAAGCCCATGGAGGCCAGAGAGTGGAATGTGGTGGTTTGGAATGGAACGGACCCCACAGGTTCATAGGGAGTGGCATTATTTGGGCTTTGAGGTTTCAGGAGCTCAAGTCAGGCTCAGTGAGTGGCTCACAGTCTTTTTCTGCTCTCTGCCAATCTGAATGTAGAATTTTCAGCTCCTTCTCTGGCACCATCTCTGCCTGCATGCCACCATGTCTCCAGCCATGACAACAGTGGACTAACCCTCTGAACCTATGACCAGCACCAACTCAATGTTTTCCTTTACAGGAGTAAAGGAAAACCATGATCAAGGTGTCTCTTCACAGCAATAGAAACCCTAACTAAGACAGGTGATGTGGTTAATTCAGTTTTCAGAATTTATAGAGCTCTGTGCAGAGCTGCTCTCTTCATTTGCAGAGAACAGGTGTTGACAGAGCAGCCCAATGTGGAAAGACACACAGTTGAGAAAGCCTGTATTCACAATGCCATTTTTCTGGAGCCAACACATTTACTCTGCCATTTTATTCCCACGGCAGCCTCAGCAGCAGACAGAGCTAGTGGCGGTATAAAGTTGGGTCTAGGCCAACCCAGGGAATCCAGACTCTA